TGTCATCATCAGGTACATGACAAAACCTTGTCGAAACGTTGTACATTTGCTGTCATGTTAAACTTTGGCTATAATATACTCCAGCAAATCTATATAACTATACCTTACCCATGTGAGTTTATTATAAGAAACTACTCCTGTATATAACTATACCTTACCCATGTGAGGTTATTGTAAGAAACTACCCCTGTATATAACTATACCTTACCCATGTGAGGTTATTGTAAGAAACTACCCCTGTATATAACTATACATTACCCATGTGAGTTTATTGTAAGAAACTACCCCTGTATATAACTATACCTTACCCATGTGAGTTTATTGTAAGAAACTACCCCTGTATATAACTATACATTACTCATGTGAGTTTATTGTAAGAAACTACCCCTGTATATAACTATACATTACCCATGTGAGTTTATTATAAGAAACTACCCCTGTAGTTTATATTGTTCGACACTACTCCTGTACGTAGTAGTAAAATTGTCCACTTAAGCCTGTTGATAGAACCTGCCCCTCTATGACCATAATGATACTCATTGTTCTATTAAAATATATATTGTTAGACAATGCCCTGGTACGTCTTTTTTTTGGAAACTGCCCTTGTAATATTTGGCTAGAAACATTTCCAGTATGTCGATATTGGTAGACTTTGCTCCTGTAAGTCTATTACAGCACACCACCCCTTTATCTATATATACTATTTGACGTTGCGTTGGGAAGCCTATTGCTCGCCGATGTTTTTGTAAGTCTTTTGTTATACACTGCTCATGGTAATGTATTTTCATTTCTTTAATTGTTAAAAATCAGCTAAATAATATTATTAAAAGAGACACAAATACTGTTGAGACGTGTAATTAACAACTGTAGCCTACAGTTTTTCTTTAGGTTTAAAGGCCAAACTTCTGTTTTAAAATCGTTATTTGTTGTTTTTAAATATACCTGTCCTTGCCGTTAGCAAGGCTACGTCGGTTCTAACAAAGGAAAACTGATAACACGAGTGAAAGGACATGTAACCTCAAAATCTCCTATCAAGATTAGAGTACTTGAACATGCTCTAAGAGAGTGTGACGTTGTTGTCCAATCGCACTGATTTAAGATCTCAGCAGAAGCCAGTGAGGAACAGTTTTTGAATGAAAAAGAGCTTTCTCATTCACAAGTTCACAAGCTGAGGCATGAGATCAGTCTTGAAGAAGTTGTTAGTAAATTGCTTTTACCTTTATATATAAACCTGTCGCAAGACACTTCCTCTGTAAGGCTATTGCAAGAAACCGTCTCTGTAATTCTATTGCTAGAAACTCTTCCTCTTCCTGTGAGTCTGTTGTTAGAGATTAAATCTATAAGTCTGTTGTTAGAGAATGCATCTGTAAGTCTATTTTTAGAGATTACATCTGTAAGTCTAATGTTCGAAACTATCGCTGTAAATTTACTGCTAGATATTGGATCAGCAGCTCTTTTGCTAAACACTGTATTTGTAAAGTTTATTGTAAGACATTGCCCCATAGACCTATTGCTAGAGATTACATCTGTATGTCTACTGCTAGAGATCACATCTGTAAATCTATTGCTAGAGATTGCCCCCTGGATCTATTGCTGAAGATTGCACATAATCTGTAAGTCTACTCTCATATCCAACTCCCCCCTAGTGGTTCATAGGTAAGTCTGAAGGCTTATAATGCTAAAAACCGGGTTTTCGATACTCGTGGTGGGCACAGCACAGATAGCCCATCGTGTAGCTTTGGGCTTAGCAACAAACAAACTTCCCTTTTATTGTTTTGCAAGAAATGGCGCCACAGAATTACTTGCAAATGCTTTCCTTCGAAAAGTAACCTTTAGTCATTTTACTTGCAAAGTAACCGATTCATAATATACCGATTCCTGTATTTTGTACTACACTAGGAACTTGACATGTTCTGTTGTAAAGCGTTTGACAAGATTTTAGTTTCCTAATCTTAGTGGGTGAACTATGTTTTCAGTTTATTAACTGTTGATTTCTAGCAGTATGAAAGGTGAGAGAATAAGGCAGATGTCTTGTTAATGTACGTGGGAAATTTGACAGTAAAATAACACAAATGGGTGTTGTTGTTTTTTTTTGCTTTATTTTAAAATACCATTAGCTAATGTAAAACATGAAGTTCGTTAAGTCTTGTTTTAACATATGTAATTTAATTCTGACATATCTGTGATAATCATCTTTTATTCCTGTTTCCTTGTCACATTTTCATGCTTGAATATAATTTCATAAACATCTGAAGAAATGCGATAGGTTTCAAATAACATTTCTTATGTATTTTTTTTTCAAATATTGGTTCTTTCTTCGTGAATTCCTTGAAATATGGATCCTTCACCCACAAGATGGCACTGACCGAGGAGATAAAACTATGGCAAACATCACAACTAAGGAGAGAAAGAAAAAGTTATATAATTTGTTTAGTTTTAAAAATCCTATAGTAACGGAGATATATCGTTAGAAAACAGCATTATTAGGCAAACATACACACTATTATATGTCTATGATACTTAAGAACATTTAGTTGAAATCAAGATTTATAAGTTGCATTAATACACCTCACTTTCAGACTCATGTATTATTGAATTATCACTAGCAGGTGCTATATAGCCTTTTCACTGTTAGGCTAGACTAATGGTTGGATGTCATTACAATAATCTGGCTAGTATTAAGTAACAGTTATTGCAAAATGTTTTGATGGTGTAGTCAGCGGGAAGCGGTAAAGAGATTGTCAGGTCGGCGGGAAGAAGTGATGGGATTGTTAAGTGAAAGATGAACGGGAAGAAGTAAAGATATTTTCGGGTGAAAGATTAACGGGAAGAAGTGATGGGATTGTTAAGTGAAAGATGAACGGGAAGAAGTAAAGAGATTTTCGGGTAAAAGATTAACGGGAAGAAGTAAAGAGATTGTCAGGTCGGCGGGAAGAAGTAATGGGATTGTCAAATGAAAGATGAACGGGAAGAAGTAAAGAGATTTTCGGGTGAAAGATGAACGGGAAGAAGTAAAGAGATTTTCGGGTGAAAAATGAACAGGAAGGAGTAAAGAGATTTTCGGGTGAAAGATTAACAGGAAGAAGTAAAGAGATTGTCAGGTCGGCGGGAAATGTCTAGATTAGACATTAGAAGACTATCTAAACAAAGCTGCAACTGTAATATTTAACTTTCAGAAATTTGTAACAATTTCAACAGTTTTTACGTACGTACGCAGGGGGGGGGTCGAGGAGTTCGTCCGAACTCCCTATTTTTTTGATGTAAAAAATTAAGCTCATATAGTTATAGCGCAGCTGCTTATGGTATTTAACGTTTTGGATGTTTGAGGATTTTATGTGTACAGAATGCAATTGTTTAAGTTATGTTTCAGATTTAATCTCGCAGAACCTTTTTTTTTTTCAAATTTTCTGGGGGTATGCCCCCAGACACCCATAGCATTAGGCATGCTTTGCATGCCGACTGTGCTTCGCACAGTATGTGTTGGCTTTTGATCTTATAAATCATAATTCCCCTTTAAACATTCTACGTACGGGCCTGGTGTTAACAACAACAATATCCTATGTAGTTTGAAGTTTTCTTATTGTTCATTCAAGTCCCAATTCATGAAACTACAAATTTAGCGTTAGAAAAATTAACTGAGGATCTAAAATGAATAACTTTGGTTAATTCCGCTATTGCTTAACCCAATCATTTATTTCTCCTTTATTATGTAATTTTATTCACAGATTAATGGTTTTAGTTCGGAAGCCCTTTGTCCGCTATTCTTGCTGGTCTATACATGATATTATTAGTTTATTTGTGTATGTTTGTTTTGAATTTCACGTGAGGATATTCGAAGGTTATTTGTGCTAGCCGCCTCTAACTTACCAGTGACAGACTAAAGAGAAAGTAGTTAATTCACACCGCCCACCGTCAATTATTAGGCTACGTTCTCTTTTTACCAACGCATAGTGGAATTGACAGTTACATTTTAACGTCCCCACAGATGAAAGGGCGAGTATGTTCGGTGACGGAGATTCGAACCCACGACTCGCTGATTTCGAATCGAGCGCCATAACCATCAGGATATGACAGACTGATCCGATTAGAAAATAGAGCTATGCAGGCAACATTAATCACGTCTTGTTCTTGGCGAAGATAAGTAACAACGCACTGTGTAGAATTTGTAAGAAAGAAGCCTTTACTTCTTTCATCGCCCCAAATTTTTACATTTATATAACAAGTTTACATTAAAAGTCGAAAACAGCATAGCTGTTTGAATTTCTCAAATTTAAACATGTCAAAAACGGAGTTATACTATCACAATTTACAGAAGAAAAAAAAACAAACACGAACTGACAATCGGCACATGATCTTAAGAATTAAGAGGTATTAAACATATGTTTTTCTGCAAATTTGTTTGGAATAGGTAAGACAAAAAAGTCCAACATAGCATCAACTTGGAAGACATTGAGATTTTTAACAGGAAACAAGGTGTACATAAGAAAAAAGTGAAAAAAGCGTTATTATTCAAACAATGAAAATGTATCCATTATTTTTATAATAAGGATTTCCCCCTCTAAGATAAGAATATTATTACTACAGTAGAACATCACTCTAAGACTTCAAAAAAAAAAGTATATTAGTTTCACACTGAATTTCATTAGAAACTGTATACAAAGCTGTTTGTGTTGTATATCATAGTTACTACATTTTCTTTACAGTTTCTGTTCTACAAAAGTAACAATTAACAAGTTTCACCTCCTTTATAATGTATTCACTTCATCACGATATAAAACTTTTTAATACTAAGGTTAAAGTTTCAGTACCGCTTAATCTTTATGAAAGAGGTAAAATGATGGGGCTATAAATGGTGGAGATTTGTAATAATGTATAATTAGACATTAGTGGGTGACTGTACAAATAGATTTTACTCACCTTATAAATACTCTGTTAACATGACGGGTTTCTTTACATCTGTGAAAATAAATTGTGTTACAGTTTAGAAACAATGGATTTGTTACTACTCTCAGCATATTGTTGCTAAACAGTTCTATCCATCAGTGAATATTTAGTAACAATATACACATCTATTTATTTCAATACAAATATAACGTTGAAGAAACAAATAGACCTGATCTTTCAATACAAATATAACATTAAAGAAACAAATAGACCTGATCTTTCAATACAAATATAACATTGAAGAAACAAATAGACCTGATCTTTCAATACAAATATAACATTGAAGAAACAAATAGACCTGATCTTTCAGCAACATACTTTAGTAAAAACCGATTTGAACTTTTCAAACACACTATACTAACAGAGACTCCGCAACACACTTTAGTAAAAACATGCTTGATTTTTTCCCAACACACACAGTGTGATAACAATAGAAATGACATTTCTCCAACATACTTCAGTAAAAAACAGATTTGACCTTTTCTCAACACACTTTAGTAAAAATAGATTTGACCTTTTCTCAACACACTTTAGTAAAAACATGCTTGATTTTTTCCCAACACACACAGTGTGATAACAATAGAAATGACATTTCTCCAACATACTTCAGTAAAAAACAGATTTGACCTTTTCTCAACACACTTTAGTAAAAATAGATTTGACCTTTCCACAACACACTTTAGTAAGAATAGACTTGACCTTTCCACAACACACTTTAGTAAAAATAGACTTGACCTTTCCACAACACACTTTAGTAAAAATAGACTTGACCTTTCCACAACACACTTTAGTAACAACATAAATGATCTTTCCACAACACACTTTAGTAACAACATAAATGATCTTTCCACACTACACAGCAGTAACAACAGCTACTACAAAACCTGAATACCAGAACAAATCTATGATTAATGTTTACACTAGGTAAATCTTGTAGCAAGTTTCAAGCAGTTTTTTTCATTCTAATAACACAGTTCTTTCATAGTTAATGTATTATACTGAAGTGGTTTCATCGTTAATGTATTGTACTAAAGTGGTTTCACCGTTAATGTATTGTAATGAAATGGTTTCACCGTTAATGTATTGTACTGAAATGGTTTCATCGTTAATGTATTGCACTAAAGTGGTTTCACCGTTAATGCATTGTAATGAAATGGTTTCACCGTTAATGTATTGTACTGAAATGGTTTCATCGTTAATGTATTGTACTAAAGTGGTTTTACCGTTAATGTATTGTAATGAAATGGTTTCACCGTTAATGTATTGTACTAAAGTGGTTTCACCGTTAATGTATTGTACTGAAATGGTTTCACCATTAATGTATTGTACTAAAGTGGTTTCACCGTTAATGTATTGTACTAAAGTGGTTTCACCGTTAATGTATTGTAATGAAATGGTTTCACCATTAATGTATTGTACTAAAGTGGTTTCACCGTTAATGTATTGTACTGAAATGGTTTCACCGTTAATGTATTGTACTGAAATAGTTTCAGTAATATACATTTTTTGTGGCAAGTGTTCAGGTATAATAATCTCATTTTTTGTATATCTTTGAGTTTTAAAACATAGTAATTTGAAGCTTATTCGTGTAGGACCAGACAAAACCACTAGTATAAATTTTATCTTAGGTACTATTTTTTTAAATGTAAAACCTTAATGGTTTTATGGTCGTCTAACGTCTTTTCATTTTGACTGTAGTTATGTAAAGTACCTACAACAATGCCCTTATCATCTACCTAGCCTTGTTTAGCTTGTTTTTTATTACCTCTACGAATACACCCATGTCAGGCTTCAAGAGAAAGAAATAAAAAAAAACAGTTAGTAAAAACTATTTGTTAGATTAAGTGTAGACAAGTGAGTATCTTGGCAGCTGTTTCGTGACAAGCACGTGCACGTGTGTTGGCCAGTTTAAAAATAGTCCATAATATTGGTTGCATCCGGATGTTCTGCACGGTAGTTTGTTTATAGAACAAACCAACAAAAATAAGCGGGTTTTGAAAACTTCCATCTTGTTTTCATTACATATGTCTCAACTCCTGAAAGAATGTGCATCACGTGACCTAGAGTGAAGTATGGAAACGAAATTTTAACATTTTTGTAAAAAACTACGGAGACAAGGTTACTGAAATGGAGAAATTCCTAAGCCTTGAGTCACATTTTCATTTTGCTTCGTCTTCTCTGCGTTCAAATAGAGAGTTGTGTAAATAATACATACCACGCTCTATATTTCCCTTTAGACGGCACATTTCAACCAAAAAGCATGAAAAAACTAAGCACTAGAACACGGGACCCTGATTATATTTGAAAGTACCCCGAATCCCCAGTTGGTGTCTTGAAAAATCAGAATAGAAAAACATGATCGATATCATACTGAAACGCCAAAAATTCTCGCTACTGTGAACACTAGCCCCGAATCTTTTAAGCACCTAGCGACACTTCTGGTTAAGCACAAAACTACACAATGGGTTATCTATGCTCTGCCCACCACAGGTATCGAAACCCGGTTTCTAGCTTTGTGAATCTGCAGATGTACCGCTTGGCCACTGGGGGGCTGGTACGAAATATATATATATATATATTTATATCAGTTACCTCTGTTTCTGCAACACTGCAACTCATTTTGTTAGAAACCCAGTTAGCTTTCAGAGGTTGACTACAGTATCGTAGAACGTTTTCTTAAAATGTGAGACACAAAACTACTAAAAAAAGCTTCAACTTGGAATTTTACCTAACAGATTTTGTACCTGAAAAACATAATATCCTAAAACTACACATTCCATGACGGAGGAAAAAATAAAATAAAAGAAGTGTTTGAAGATACTTGCAGTTGTAGCTAATGAATGTAGTTGATATTCTAATAAACGATTTCCATTATTTCAACTTCATCACCGCCACAACTTATCCACCTGAGGAACAGCTTCGTTCTGTATGTACTTTGATCCGTGACTTCAAGTTTTGTTAGGTTTGTCAAACTGTAACAACGCATAACAAGAAGTCTGAATTTCTTATAATTTGGTTTTAACTTTTTGTGGTCCAGAAATGGCCTTCTCAAACTCACACGACCGTAGGACATTAGACTTGTGTTTATGCAATGCAAAACATCTGAATGTTAGACGTCTTTTCTTAATAAAGTGGATTACTTTACCTTAAGTTTGAAGTATGTCTGAGCTTAGAAGTCAATGTGGATTACTTTATCTTAAGTTTGAAGTATGTCTGAGCTTAGAAGTCAAGGTGGATTACTTTATCTTAAGTTTGAAGTATGTCTGAGGTTGGAAGTCAATGTGGATTACTTTATCTTAAGTTTGAAGTATGTTTGAGCTTGGAAGTCAATGTGGATTACTTTATCTTAAGTTTGAAGTATGTTTGAGCTTGGAAGTCAATGTGGATTACTTTATCTTAAGTTTGAAGTATATCTGAGCTTGGAAATCAATCCAAAGCCTAATGATTTCGTCTGGTTTTTCAGGCAGACGATTGAAGAAAGGACATTAAACTATACACCATGAAAATAATAGTGCGCCATTGTCACACACACAGGTTCAGTAATTGGTTATTTATAATGTAACTTTACTTTGAAATATTCCCGTTAACTTACACTTGTATCTACTCTTAAACATTACTACTACTTCTACTACTATCACACTTCTAATGCCCCTCTTTTTTTATTCCCTTTCTTCCTGTATAAAGCTAATTTATTTATAAACTTTAGGTCAAGTTTCTAGAGTTATTGTGACCAATCACCATCTGGTATGTATATGAACATTCAGAATATATACTATTGGAATGCATTCAGTATTAATGATGGGGCTATAAATGGTGGAGATTTGTAATAATGTATAATTATATATTAGTGGGTGCCTGTACAAATAGATTTCACTCACCTTATAAATACTCTGTTAACATGACGGGTTTCTTTACATCTGTAAAAATAAATTGTGTTACAGTTTAGAAACAATGGATTTGTTACTACTCTCAGCATACTGTTGCTAAACAGTTCTATCCATCAGTGAATATTTAGTAACAATATACACATCTATTTATTTCAATACAAATATAACGTTGAAGAAAGAAATAGACCTGATCTTTCAATACAAATATAACATTGAAGAAACAAATAAACCTGATCTTTAAATACAAATATAACATTGAAGAAACAAATAGACCTGATCTTTCAATACAAATATAACATTGAAGAAACAAATAAACCTGATCTTTCAATACAAATACAGCATTGAAGAAACAAATAGACCTGATCTTTCAGCAACATAATTTAGTAAAAACAAACTTTATTTTTTTGACATCCTTGAGCAGAAACAGGCTTGATCTTTCCACAACACAACACAATAAGATGCACAATATTTCACGGCAAAATGTAACAAACTTATACCGAAATTCTATATTTTAAATTACTTGGTATGTACAACCTCCCTAGGGCTTATTACAGTTCTGTAGTAGGCAATACGATGTAAGCAAAAGAGGTATGACAGTATTAGAATTTATGATGACCATAGGAAGACTAAATTTTATCAATGGATGAACGTGTCCAAAAGGGTCCCCAAATGATGATGATGTTTACTGGTACCTTCAGATCAAGACGTCTTCTTCTTTGATGATGTAATCTTCTTCCATTTCAGTCTTGCAAAAAAAAAGTCGTAATGTTTCGGCATAACTCACTAATCGTTGTTATAATCAGTACCCTCCCTTAAGCCTAATTATTATTACAATTATTTTTTATATTTTAATTAATAGATGCTAATTACTAACTATATTTTATCCTATATTTCGGCTATTAATCTGCTGCTGTGTTCAGAGAAGTTCCATCCTCTTGATAGAGATGCTGGAGTGTTATCTACTCGTCTATTCATAACTCGTGTATATAACTCATCAATATTCAAGACTAACTGGCTAATTCTCACAAGTAGCACGTCATTAACCACATGTAGCTCTCAAATACTAGGAGTATATGGAAGTAATGAAAGAAGTATGGATTATTCCTCCAAATCAGAGTCAGATTAACAGAGCATAACCTCTAACCCCACCAAACGATCTCATTCCCCCCAAAAAACCTACTTTTGTGAAAACCAATATGTTAAAACCGATAAAACAAATGCTAAGCAGCAAAGAAAAAACGCATCGCAGTAGGCCCGCGCATTCTCAAGATGATGAACAAGAGCCTTAATCAAGAATATGGTACAAATATGATTTTACAGTTGTTACGGTATCCCTGCTTACAACACAAGTAACAGTTGTTATGGTATCCCTGTTTTAACAACTGTTACTTGTGTTGTTGGTATCCCTGTTTACAACACAAGTAACAGTTGTTACGGTATTCCTGTTTACAACACAAGTAACAGTTGTTACGGTATCCCTGTTTACAACACAAGTAACAGTTGTTACGGTATCCCTGTTTGCAACATAAGTAACAGTTGTTACAGTATCCCTGTTTACAACACAAGTAACAGTTGTTACGGTATTCCGTGTTTGCAACATAAGTAACAGTTGTTACGGTATCCCTGTTTGCAAATCAAGTAACATTAGTTGTTTTTTAGCTTAACACTACATAACAGGTTATCTGTCCACCAGGAGTATAGAATTCCCTGTCTTAGCGTTGTAAGTCTTGCTGCTAACTTACCGGGAGACGACATAAACTCACTGTTTTGGTAGCTTAAAATTATTCCCAATCACGAATATATCATAAAAAACACGAAACGTAATGGTTAAAGTATTGATATCACAATCCGAATGGCACCTAATGCGATACATGGGCTAAACAATCAGATCAGAAACCCAAGGCTCGGGCGTAGCCGTTATTAATTTTTAAATGCTCTCCAGAGAGAAGACAACCAGTCATACTAACTGCCTACACGACTATTCTTAGTCGAATGGTGGGATTGAATGTCGCTTTCGCAGAGTCGAAACATGGACCTTTTGATACGCAGCCCGGCACGCTAACAACTAGGCAACGTCCAGCCTAGTGATTAAATATGAATATGATAACACGAGAGAAGCTCAAGTTACTGTGACGAAATGCCATCCGGTGAGTCAGTGGTAAGTTTACAGTTTTATAAGGCTAAAATCTTGGGTTTGATACCCTGAGCAGAATAGATAACCGATTGTGTAGCGTTTTGTTGAAAAAGCAACGAAACTGTGACGAAATAAATATAAACATATTACTCACTTTAGGCGAATATTTGGATGGAAGAGAAAGACAGGACGCAGTCATAACTAAATAAAATAGGAATAGAAATATTCAGAGTAAAACATGAGTAACTTAACATAGTTAGGAAAACATCTGCATCGTAGGAAAAAAATCACCTTTTACTTTAAGCAGTCTTAATAATTGATACAAACAACCGAAAAAGACAAGAGAGAAAATATATCTAGTTTGCGTGTTTTAATGAACGAAGATTTAAAGTGTTGGGATGACATATGTCGTGTTCTTGTAATGGGCTTTAATAAACCTTACTAATTGTATTGGTGAACGCGTCGAGCTGTGAATTTGAGGGTTTATGATTCGCGCCCGATTGACGCAAAACGCACTTTGAAGTTTTGGCTATGCTACAAGAGTGACAGTCATATACCACCATTCGGCCAGATAGGAGTAGCTCAAGAGTTAGCAATAGTTCAAAATTATGGATTGTTATACACAGATCTTGTGTAGCTTTGCGCGAATATTCTGAGCAAAAAATATAAAAAAATACTGTCCACATGTCACCCAACTTCACTTACTCTGTGCTATATTATTATCCTACAGCATGTTTAACATAATGGCAAGCTCAGACAGTCTAAAATCCCACTAGAAACAAATGTACTTGAATATACCATTAGGCTTCTAATAGTCTTTGCATGATAGATTATTAAATTCATTTCGCTATTTGAATGTTTCACGCAGACGGTACACAGAAAATGTTGCCGAAGCAACTTTGTCGTCAAGTAACTCTGACAACTTTAGCTCTCTAAAGAGCTCAATTATCTTAACAACCCGATGCTAGTAACCTTGATTTCTCGATCACTGAGAGATGAAAAATTGTCCACGAGGGTTAGCAGCTCACATCTGTAGGGAAAATCAGTGGGGAAAAAACACACCCATAATCTTTAGATTCTGGGATCCTGACGCGTAATCTCAAAGTCCCTTTTTTCGGGTATTGCTGTCTCTAATCATTGTATGTCCTCTTTGACTGGTACGAAACCAAAAAGAAGAGGGATGATCATACCAAAATGACATACTTTGATGCAATGGTATGATTTAAACGAAAATGTGAAGGAAAGTCTTTTTGTGTTTGCTTTATTATGTACCAACAAAACTATCCAACGGTGTCAGACTTAATAAGCGATGCTATAAATGGGTGCGTGTGGCGCCCCCTTCCACTATTTTGAGCCGTAGGACATGAGCCATATATTCGATGCAAAGGTACGCGTTCTACACGCTGCATTAAACATTACATTCGTTTGGCATCGACTTCATGTATTTGGCTACTGACCTCCTCGCTCAGTTTTGTTCTCATATACGGTAAAATGGCTGCCAAACTCAAACCATTATCAGTTTTCTTCTCATATACGGTAAAATGGCTGCCAAACTCAAACCATTATCTATTTTTGGGTTCATCTTGAGTTACTCTATTAGATGCCATCGAAACTGGTTTAGCCAGTTTCTCAAAGCAACTTGTGTCACCAGATAGGTGAATATTTCTTCTTCTTACGTTTCGATACGTCATACGTATAACTGGTAAGTTTGTACGATTCTCCTTGGATCAGCAGTTAACTTAGAAATTAAAGAGGACCAATGAGGGCGTTGCAGTCCTAATTAGAAATGAATACCTTTTATAAGCCTGAACTTGCTTCACGAGAATGGCGTCATTAGAAGACGTCACCAATTTGAGACTATTCATTCGTAATAAATCTCGTATAATCATGAGGTAACCTGGGATTACTTTAATCTGGAATCCCTGTTTATCTTACGTTTACCTGTCAACCAAAGTCGGTCTAGTCTCAAGTCATTATCCTTGTATAAAAAAGGGCAGAACGACAATTCTGCGATATACCCAACATAATACAAAAACAATAGAAATATTTCATTGTTAAGACATTATTACACTAACTGCTACACGTGTTAAACGGACAGTGGACAGATATTCCATTAAGTCAATGATATCAACAAGTGAATGAACAAGTTATTAGTTATTTTATCACCGGGAGCATGGAATTTATCTCTCTCCTATCGGCCAACTTGCCAAGCCATACCAGAAAATGTTTTCGACCTGTACTTTTAAGACGAATATTCCTTTTTTAACCAATGGTTGTCCATTGCCCAAATAAATAAACAAATCATCTAAACTTAGGGTTAAAGTCAATCGAAATTTCATGCTGGTATCCGTTGGTTTGTCACTTGTCTATTTCACAATTTCACTGAGCAATACGAAATGCAGATAGCCCAAGTCTCCCGGGACTTTCGGAAGTCTCCTTGCTCTACATAAAACCTCCTCCCTTTCGAAAATGACTGAATGCCTCCCGGGGATACAAGGCTAAATATACTGTACCTTTAAAGCTTTGATGTTTTTGTAAACAATATATCAAATAGGCCGATTTCAAGTGACGTATGCATATACAATTATGATAGGTGCTAAAAAAAGATTGTTTGTTTGTTGGAACAAGGTGGTTGAATTTGATTGGTCAGTCACCCGTCTATCAAACATATAAAGTTTTAACGATAACAACGTCTTCGAAGGCTTGTCATTGTTGGGACTCAGAGACTATCTCCCTGAAATTAATCTCACGAACTTGGGGAGTCTGTAAGTAAGAGAAGTGATACCTGTTAAACAAAAATAAACTGAAGCAAAAAGTGTGCTGGGGATGTGGATTAACTTGTTGGAGTCATTAATGTAGAGGTCGAGTGCAATATTGCAAGCTTCATTGGCGGGAA